CTACTGCTGCCTCCACGGCAGCTGCATCAGAGACGTCTGTGACGTCACTGCGGTAGTGGTGGCTGTCTGCTACTACATCCACAGTTACCACAGCTCTTAGCTAACTAGGTGTATGAAATCAAGTAAAATGTCAGATGTAGTCATTTTTTATTCTTTATTGTTTCAAATAATTTACATTATAAGAGTAAGTCTTCCTCAAGAAGCCGGCTTGTTTCTGCTGGTGACTTGGGGTGAATCTAAATACCTGAAAGAGAAAGAAAAAAAAAATCTAAGTTAAATTCAAATTATCAGAGTTCAACTCAAACGTTCTCTGGTCCATATGGTATCACCGTGACGCCAGCTCATCGAATGAACTTTCTATGTTACAGGTGGCCAGCATCCAGTCCAGGCATATCCCTTTGGACAAGAACCAGCATCACTTCCTACTTTACTAAGACTGTACCATACAAATGAAATAAATAGCAAAATTGCTGTAAGTGACACTCTAATGATTTGCCTCTTCCACTTCCCTCAACTAAAAGCATCACACAACTACATATTTTAGAATCAAGTACAGACAGTAAAGATATGACAAGAAAACCCCCAATAGAAACAAATACCATTATAAAATTTTACCTATAACATGTCTACCATAATTGGCTCAAATCAATAGCATCCGGAACCAGATTTATATTTATCAAAAACTTAAGGACATACCCTTGTAGCTCATATCGTTCTTAGAATGTTTACAGAACCTTCAGAGGACCAAAAGAACGTTCTCAGAACGTTGTCTGAATGTTTGGTGCTACAAGGGTAAGGCCATCATTTGGATTTGCCCCATGAAACTTTTCCATTGTTGATACTATCATAGATTAATTTTTTTAAAAGCACAACCTGGTTTACTGTACTTATTTGTATCATCATGTTAACCATTTGGAGTTGTATCCTCTCTCTTACGGCAAATTTTTCCACTCCAAAAATTTTTAAGTCAATGAAATGTGAGTTGATTTTTTATTTTGTAATGTTATTGACATCACTTCCCAAAAACTAATAGATTGTCAAATGTTAAATGTTATGTAAAACAATATTTTTGAAAAACCGAACCCTGTATGTCCTAGGCGGAGCAAACAAAACAAATTGGCAATGATATATAAAAATTTCAACACCAATTTTATGGACAACTAACTTTTATATGTTTGAGAATAACATGAGAAGTATCATTTCATAATAATGTTAATTTGAAAAACCAACTTCCCTTGGCCTAGCTTTCTTTTCAACCCCCCCGTCAATCAGCCGTTTAAGTCCTTTGACTTCGGCTACTGTATTGATATTTTTGTTAACATTCCATAAATTGAAAGGCCAAACTTACAAGATTCATTCCTAAGACCATGGGAAAAAGGGGCCATTTCTCATGCTGTGTGCTGTGACGACAACTCAGCAAACATCAGGTGACAGCTAGCGGCTGGTTAGCTGACGTCTAAGCACAGATGCAACTGTTGGACGGTCTCCCTGCAACAGGGTAAAAACAGAATTTTGGTCTAAATACATCACGGTGACACCAACTCTCCTCTCTGTACTGCTTACACGCTGAGGTAGCTGCATAACATTAACGTGCCATGCTTCAAAAGCATTACCAAGGACAAACAATGTCAACTAACGTCAAATTTTAACGTGTGGAATCTTGAACACATAACATCTACAGACATGATTGTAGTACGATTGTAGAGCGGTAGAGCGGAGACGCTGGTCTCAATTAAAGCAGTGAACTTTTTATCAGGTTCAATGGTATCAATTTGAGCATTCTCATATTGAGCGATCTCATTCACTTTAGATCGAACATTTTTGTCTAAACACCTAATACCAACAGCCTGATAAAAGCTAAACAGAAGATATATTAGGCATGCATTTAAATTTGCTTTAGAGAAAAATCAATAAAAGTTTGGCACATGGTAGTAAATTCAAAATGAGGTTATGTACCAGTATAGGTTTGTAATGAGACTCATCACGTTTGCGTTCTTCCGCATCAAGGCACAGACAGAGGTGTCTCTATGACACTATATTGACAAATCTATAATTTACGAAGACGAACTAGCACAAAAAGGAAATAACAGCAACAATTTCTTACCTCCGCGAAGTCAACAACAAACAACAATGTTGCACATGTGTAGTCTCGTTGCAGGGTCTGTACGTCCACGGTTTGACGGGACCAGTTGGCTAGCAGGGGGTATCGCCGCTCAGGCGCTGAGGGTAGGCCACCATCTCCACACAGACACTTGGCGGGCAGGCGTACCCTACGCGCCGCAGGCGTTGAGTGTATTTAGATTGTCCGACCCATTTACCTCCGACCTGACGATTTTTCCCAAATCCCAAAAAGTGCTGTCCAACCTAGGTTTTGTCCAACCAATTTTTTTCCGACCTGTTTTTCTCCGTTTGGAAAATGCAGTTATGCTTTACCGCACTTTTAGTTTTCCTACCTCAGGGGGCCGTAGCGCCTAACGGGTATTGCAGGTAGGCAACACGCACGCCTGCGTGCGGTACAGCATAACCACGATGACTGGCGGGTTCGCCTACCCCAGGGGTAGCTGGGGCGCCTGCTTACGGGCAGTGCGGCAGTGTGGCACTAAGCAGGCCCCGTGAGTCACGAGTCGGGGGTTCGTTTCTCCGCACACAGTAACATTTTTCTGAACCGGTCGAACCCTGCTTGGAGTTGAATTCAAACACGTCATTTCAACGGGATACCTTCGTGGATCAACAAACGGTCTGGAGGTTAACGCTGCCCCACTGGACCGGGGGTGTCTATGACTCGGCACTGGGGTCCCATTAGGGGCAAAGGTCCAACCCTCGGCGAAAGCGTGCCGGCTCTTTTTTTGTTGGGTGAGCAAAAGAGGAGGAAATCGCTTGACCCGGCCACCGGTGGGACCGGTGGGACTCGAACCCCTGTGAGTCGAAAGGAACCTTTTGCTGCTGGTAGCATTCAAACCGGGCGACTAAAGAAAAAGAAAACCGCTGGCGGCTGGGCTTGAACCCATGACCCGGGAGTCCCCGCCCCGACTCCTTTACGCACTCGGCTAAGGGGCCGCACTCGTAGCACACCGACTAGAACTCAGGCTGACGACGCGGCGTGGGAAAGAAAGAGAGAGAAAAAAGGCGGGCCGGCCGGGTCCCAGGTGGGACTCGAACCCCAGCGCGGGTTGCCGACTGGTCGAGCCTCTCGTACAATGCGTAAAAATTCAAACATAAAAACGAATAATATGACGGCGCGTCGAGTATTAGAACCCCCGACTCGAAGTTCAAATTTCGCAGCGATATCAAAGAGCCACGAGGTCGTTCTCGAAGCCCCAGGTGAGAGGGTGTCGTGATGGGACCGGTTCTTCTCCCGCTCAAGCCACTGCGCTGACTCGTGGGTTCAGCCTAGCTCGCCCGGTCACCCACACTGTGGCGTCGTAGCCGCGCCGGTAGAGAGTCGGCCCCGTGCGCCACAAGTCAGGGGTTCGATTCTCTCATTCCAGCTACATTTTTCTGAACCGGTCGAACTCTTGGAGTTGAACTTAAACCCGTCATTTCAACGG